AGATAATGTTAGCCATAAAGACAAGCACCAGAAGCAGCAAAGGGTTAAGTGTCATTAAAAGTAAGAGAATGAAGAAGTCATCGTGGAAAGGAAAGCATTTGGGATCCATGTTAAATGCTATGGTTCATCATATAAAAGCCCCTCCATTAAGTCTAAGAATATCTCTTCAGAGGGTGAAAGCATAGAATGGCAGATCTCTCCTTCCTGAAGGCTGTACAGTGTTAATGAGCACAGGAGGGAACGGTAGAGTGTGCCATAGAGATGAGCTCCGGTGTATTCTGGCAGTGACCTTACAGATATTCCTAGAGAGGAGCTTCTGTGAGTTGTGAATGGTGCTCTGATAAAAGCAACTGCACAGAAACATGGTACCAGAGGTGGTACAAAGGCCAGGTGGATGGAAGCTGGGTGGGGGAAAGGCTGGCTCACCTCACTCACTATTGAGTCCTGAGGACACATTTCCAGGGGGCAAGACTGCTCAAGGGTTACTGGTGCCAACTATGGCAAGAGTGTGACTGGCTTCCTATACTTATGGCTAATTTCTGAGTCATCCTTGCTAGAAACTCCTGGTTTGGGGCCATTATTGAGTTTTCCTATTCCAGTATCTGTAAGTTTTGGGTTTAGGTATAGGTTGAGTATCTTTAATCTAAAAATACAAAATACAAAATCTGAAACATTTTGCCAACATGACACCACAAGTGGAAAATTCCACACCATGAAACTTTGCTTTATGGGTCTGGGGTGTAGCTCAGTAGTAGAGTGCATGAGGTCGTGGGTTTGATCCCTCCTGCCAAAACCCCCTTTACTTTATGTACACAATTTTTTTAAATACATGTAAAATTTCCTTCAAGCTATGAGTATAAGGGGTATATGAAATGTAAATGAATTTTGTGTGGGTCCCATCTCTAAGACATTTCATTGTATGCATGGAAGTATTGCAAAATCTGAAAAAGTCTGAAAGTCAAAATGCTTCTAGCTCTAAATCTTTCAGATAATCTATGGTCAACTTACATAATTGCATAAAAATAAATTGTTCTGTTTTGTTTCACAGTTAGAGCTAAATCAGTGCAACCTATGTGCAGGTCAAGGCAGTTTTGAATGCTGAAGGAGAAAAAATATGGCCAATCTTTAGCACTTTAGCTCTTGGAGGAGTTGGGTTCAAGGGGAGTGGCAGAGAATTTGACCTTTCTTTGAGGTTCTCATTGGGAAGGTGTCATTTCCCAAGGTTTTTGTGAAAGAGGGCTATCAACCTTCAGCATTGTGACTCTCTTGCTCATCTTCAAGTTATCCCTTATGGCATCTCACCAAATCTTGTTGGAGTTGTGAGAGGTGAAAGGACCAGAAAACCATACTTTTAACAGAAGAGTTAAAGAACTGGCAGTAAATATTACACTTAGGAAAATATGTTAGGTTTCTTGAAATATGTGGAGGCTGCTGAGAAAGAACAAAATATCTTGTATGTATTCTTCAGAATGAAAAGATGAAGTATGAAAACATTGAGCATTTCTTTAAAGCAAAGAATAGGATTAATTGGTAAACTTGCCCTGACAATGTTAGCCTAAGTGCTCTGGTGATATCCTACAGCATTAGAAATTGCTTCAAACTTTAGTGGCTTAAAACAATTGTTTTATCCTCTTTCATGATTTGGTGAGACAGGAATTCAGACAAGTCTTGGCAGGATGATTCTACTCCAAGTGACATTGAGTGAGGTCACTTTGTACTGTGCAGTTGGTGGATGGGTTGGCCTGGAGCACCCAAGAAAATTTCATTATCATGTCTGGTGCCTTGAAGAGGTAGCTGGAGCCCAAGGTTAGCTAAAATAGTTGGAGTGTCTACATGGGGCTTTTCAAGCATGGTGATCTCAGAGTAATTAAGCTTTTTTTTTTTTAGAAGCTCGGGGCATCTACAAAGAGGAGTTTAAGAGAGGAGAAGTAGACACTGCCATTGTCCCATAGTGTGGGCCTTTGAATGAGAAATGCTGTTTCAGCACAATCCGTCAAAGCAGTCACAGAGCTTTCTAGAATCAGGCAGAGGAGGGACTATGAACCCCACTTCTTGGTGGGAATAATAACAGTAATTTTATGGCTATTAAAAAATTTGCTCCTTAAGATAACAAATTCTGTCATGCTGTACTTTCCCAGTAAACTTTGCTCAAGACAGACAGAAAACGATTATTTCTGTGTTATAGGCAGCAGAGTTTTGCTACTAGGGACTACTCATTAGGGTGCCTTATGTTAGTTCAGGGATGATGAAACAAACATTGCTTAGATAATCACCTAAGTCCTAGAATAGTGATTAGTGTGCAAATTAATGGGAATTGTATCAGTAGCAAGTTTGCTGATTATATTTAAAAAATGTCCATTGTCTTGAGAGCTAGAAAAACTTAGAGTAATTCCTAGCAATTGAGGCACACACCCCTTCCTTATTCTTTTTCCATGTGCAATGAAGGTGTTTTCTTTCTTACTCATTTTTGTAAAGTGACTTACAGATACACTATGAAGCTTTTTGTTCATTTGTTTGTTTGCTTGATTTTTTTCTAGAAAGGTAGATATGTATGAAGGGAAAGTAAGTGTGAGTGAGCTAAGGGGCTGAGAACATGAAAATGTTTCTCCAGAAGCAGTTGGGTCTCTTGCATATGAGTTGGAGAGCTTTGCCCAAATACAGAAGTGACTTTGACGCTAGGGGCAAGAACCTGAGTCTTCACCAGTCCCTGCTTATGGAGTTTACTTGACTGCCCAAATTTAGCTACTAGGAGTTTGTGTTTCACACACTTCCATCAGGATTTGACATGGACAGTTTCTCACATGTCAATCTCCCACTTCATCCACTAGAGCCTTGGTTCATCTCATTTCTTGTCCCTAAACCCAACTGTGGCCTCACCCTCCCATCTCATACCTTCTTCACTGATCTGAGTTAGACCTTCCACCCCATTACTCTCTTGGCGTCTGTTAGCTCCATGCCACAATACAGCCCAGAAGGAACAAATTGTCAGTCTGGGAGGTGCTCTGACTCTGATCCATACCTTTATGCATCATCTCACTACACCAAGCTAATCGGGGCCATGCTTATTCTTCCTTCTAGGTTGTCACATGATCTTCTTTCTGTCAAGCACACTTCAACTTACCTCCTAGTCTTTTTTAAGATCCAATTTCTCTCTTCTTGGAGATATCAGGGGAGCTTTCTCCAGGCATCTTTTTCTTTATATTCACTTGGTGCTCTAGGAATACTTTTATATCATACCTGTCCTGTTGTACTTCATCTGCTCCATTATCTTGATCCTCCTCTTCCTTAAGAAGCCTTTCTAGGCAGGGACCATGGACTCTTCATACTCAAATTCTTGGGCTCTGGAATGATGCTTACTGCATTCATGAATGGATTGTTGGAAATAGATGGATGGATGGTTGAAGGCTGGATGGCTGACTGGGTGGTAGAAAAGGTGAATGGATGGATGGTTGGTTGATTGACTATTAGCTTTATAATAACATGGGATATATCTTCATAAATGATGACCTTCCATCTGGGATTTTGTGATTTTTGATTGCCAGTGAATATAACACAAACGTCACCCTTCTACATCTCTACTATAAATTTGTACATATTTTTATTTGTATCATTCTGCAGCTCTCCAAAGACTCCTGAAGTTAGTATTCTTAAAACTCCAAAGGGACAACAAAAGATCAAAACCTGTGCAGCAAATGGTTATTCCAAAAGCAAAGTTTGTTTTCAATATTTGCTCCCACCCCTAGCTTGATTTGTCATGACATACAGCCTGCTAGGCCTTAGCAGGTTCTTTATTAGCAGGTTGGAAATAGTTATATTTACTTTCAAGGTTTATAAGTTGTAATTATTTGAAAAAAAATGTATGTATGCATCTATGTATGTATGTATCTTATATGTGTTGCTGTTAAAGTTTGTTTGATATTTCCCCTAAAAGAACCTTGTGGAAACATAAATGTTGTTACCTTTCTTTTTCCCTGGCACTCTAAACACAAAGGATTTGTTCAAAAGCATCAAAAATTAGCATAGGTAGAAACTAGAGCTGCTGTTAGCTGAGACATATTGTTTATCATTGATAAAATTTTATTTTTATAGTAACTGCATTTGTGTTTGTCAGCTTTCTGGTTCTGTAATAAATGCCTCAGATAATAAACTTATAAAGAGACAAGGTTTATTTTGGCTCATGTTTTGGAGGTTTTAGTTCATTGTCATTGGACCCCATTGCTTTGGGGCCCATGGAGATATAGCAGATAATGATGAGGCACATGGAGGAGCAAAACAGCTCACATCATGGCCAGGAAGTGAAGAAGACAAAGAGGAAGGGAATGGGGTATTACTATCTTCTTCAATGACCTTAAGACTTGCCACCAGATCCCATCTCCAAAAGGCTGTACCATCTCCCAGTAGTACCACATGGAGATGGGAACCTAAATCTTTAACACATGGGCCTTTGGGGAATGCTTTAGATCCAAATTATAGAAGTAGTATTATACAATGTGGAATCTCAGCTGTCAAATAGCTTCATCTTGTGTGCCAATTCCAAATCAGTTGGCAGTTACTACCTGCAGTTGAGAAGGACTCTGAGGCCCTCTTTGAGTTCAATTGTTCCATGAGGTCTACCACGAGTATATGATATCCTATACACTCTGCCATTTATTTTCTATCCATGCTGTAAGACCACAACAGGTGCTTATTGTGATAGAACTCCATGCTGGTTGTCCACTGAGTCACCATAGTGGTTCATGAGATTGTTCATGGGAAAATATTTATGGAGGTTTTCCAGTTTATAGAAGCTGAATTTTAAACTAAGTATGCAAATTTCCTCTTTCAGTGAATGTGTTTACAAAATGCAGAGAGGAGGTGAGGAAAGCAAGCTATGACATTAACACCTATTACAGCCATCTTCCTATCCAGGAGTAGCTTTTCCTCTGTGGAGGAACCATGGCTTCTCAAGGAGTTGTGGTTAGTCATATGTAGTACTAGCAATTAACAGCATTCACTCTGTGCAGATGAAAATATAATCAGATCAACTTTATTTTAAGCATCTATTACATTCTCATGAATAACAATATTCTAAGTCAAGCCAGTTTAACAGTCTAGCAAAAATGCATTTCATTTTAAAGGTGGGTGTTGAGAAGTTTGGCAAATGCTTGGAGATGGCTCCAGGAGTTCTGTGTGATGTACCATGTTGGGACCTGCTAACTGCCATGGGTTAGCACTGAAGGCTCAGGAACAGTCGCAAAGGCTTGGAAATTGACAAGAGCATGGTTACATAGACCAGAGCATTCCATTCTAACTCTTCCCAACCCCCAGTTCCTCCCCATTATGTAACTTTTGTTAAGAACCACAGTCTACCGGCCTAAATCACCCCCTAAGCATGTCAACGGGGAATTCTGACTATAAATCCATTTTGCAAATTAATACCAGCTACCTTGAGTATTGGAGCCTTGGAGCATAATACAAAGGATGGTGGCATCCTCTGCTCTTGGGTCAGAACTAGCATTTGCCGTTTACAAGACTGAGTTCCTGTTACCTTCCAGCACCTAAGTGTTGGGGTGAGGTTTCAACATCAGCAATATGAGGAAAAGAGAAACAGGGGCTGTCTGTCTTTCCACATGTCTAACCACAAAATCTGCCAGTTCTTCCAACTTATGCTTCTAAAAAAATAAAAAAAGACCTGGGTCCGTGCTATTGTGTGAAGGAGACAATCCTGGAAAGACAGGTGAAGTACAACCACCAATTATGGAGATTAAACCCTCATTCCCCCAGTCCCAAACCAGCCTCCTTACTTTCTAGTTCTGCATTCCAGACAGCATTAAAGTAAGGGCTATTTGTTCCTGCTGATCAGGCCACACTGTGACACCTATAAAATGCACTAGAAACTACATTATTTAATAGATCCGTAGATTGCACCTGCTTTCTTATCTCCTCTTAGGTGATTAAGTTCCCACGAATGTAATTTGTTAATATAGGGGCCACATTTTCTTACAAGGTAATCTGTGAAATTGGCAGGCAATTGCTTGGCTGCAGGTGCAAGATGAAAGACCTTTCCCTGGCTTTGTCAAAAAGAAAAATGATGTTGTACTCAATTCCTGGGAAAAATATTCTAACACAGGGGGTAGAACCTGCTTCTAAGAAAGGGGAATAGAATTCTGAGGATACAATCATGTTCTTCCCTCCTTGGAGAGAGTATGGTGCCTGGAAATGTTGAGTGGGGAAGTTTTAAATGAGGCCAGGTATTGAGGAAATCCCTCACTAAGGGCAGCCCTCTGATATCTGAGCTGTAGCCATTTGTGGTGATAAATGATAACTTTTTCTCTTATGAGCTATGAGAGTTTAATTAGAGCTTAGTTACAGCTAATGCTCAGAATCCTTTGGAAGGTGGAGTGATTCAAAACTAGCTTTCATGCCAGATAGCCTGGGTGTGGAAAAGTATCTTTGAAGTACATGCATCCACGTGCTAGAGCCCTCTCCAGTCCTGTCTGTGTCTTCACAGCTAAGTTAAAGCAAGAGCTATTTTTGCATTAGAATTTCCTTAGCTAACACTGCAAGAGGCCAAGTGCTCAGGCCTATCTCAGCCTCTTGTGGGTTTACATGGAAGGTCGTCTTTGAATCTGCAAGTTCAGCTCGCCATATACATGTCTCAGGGAGTCGCTGGTCATGCTGGCTATCAACTTCCGAGGGCCAGAGACCCAAGGCCGACATACTTCTTCCCACTGCACAGTGGAATTGGGCCGGATTTCACTGAAAGAATTGAAAAGAGAGGAGAGGTTGACAGATCTAGCTTCCCACCTTGACCAGGAAGCAATGAGAACCCCTGCATGTCTCCTCTTTCTGTCAGCGGATGCTGGCCAGAGGACTGAAAGCCTGGTTGGATGATTCTGCAAGTCACAACCCCTCTGTGAGGCCCTGCATCTAGTCATGACCCCCCTGCTGCCATCTGACTTGAGTATCTTTACACTCTGTAATTGGTAATCCCTTTCAACCACCAAATTGGATTCCCTTTATGAATGGACTTTCTTTTCTTGCTTCTTGCCAGTGCCTGGAATTATCCTGGCAATGGGGTGGCCTTTTATGGTCTTGAGTTCTCTTCTTCTTCCTCAGTGCATGCTCAGAGGTCTTCCTAGGTGTTATGGACTGAGGGACAGGGAAATTTAGATTTTTCTGGGGTGCTTCTCATGCATCCCTCATGTAAGCATAGGAGGAATATTGTGCAAGTTTATTTGTGTGACGGTGCCTGAAGGTACATGTTCTTTAACACATGGAGAGTTAAATTACTGAAGTAATTTTCTAAGATTCTATAGTTAGTGAATAGGCAAGGATGAGGTCTGATCCCAGCTTACCTGAGTTCCAAATCCCTGCTCTATGGCTGTACATTATGTTTCCTGCTATTTTCTATAAAAGATGCTTACTGTTTCACAGGTTTTATTTCTCAAGGAGAACAGATGCCCTTTGGTTCAGTATCAAGAACTTCCTGAACATCTTGTGCATGTATGATTCCTGGCCTTGGCTCTTTGACCCTTCGACTGGCATACTGGAAGGCGTAGCATGGGACCCAGAGATGCCTTTTTTTTGTGAGAGTAGAAGAGAGATGAATCCAGAGCACCATGAGTGTCTTGAAAAGTTAAAAAAAAAAAAAAAGGAATCTGATCTTTTTCATAGGATTCATGTCAGAATCAGAAAGGGCTTTAGAAATGACCTAGCCCAATGTCCTGTTTTACAGATGAGGAAGCTGAGACCTAAGGAACCTACAGAATCTCCAAAGTCACAGAACCTCATGGCCCAGGAAATGGAAAAGCTAGAATCTGAGCCAACTGCATAGACTTTCCAGATTCCTGTTAGTAGAATAGAGCCTATACTATTGTGAATTTCACCTAAACATCTGGAAGCCACATGAGGGATGGTAAGAAGACCTACCCTGTAGCAAAAGAATCAGCTGCTTCCAGCAAGAGATGACACAGTGCAATCTGTACTGTCTGCCTCAGTGCTATGTAGAGCTTGTTCCAAATCTGACTCTTCCACATGCAAACCCAGCTGATTCTCAAAGTCCCTTGGTGGTCACTGAAATGGCTATTTCTTGAATGTGATTTCCAGTGCGTTTGGAGTCCTCTATCAGTATTTCAGCAGTTTAGGTGCTTAGAAGTTATGAAAATGGAGGTGTTGATTACCATGCAACAAAGAATACCAAGTCAAAATGTTTTTGTTTATCATATGGTTCCATAATGAGCACTATCATGTGTGGGGTTTATTTCATGTTTATAGCTGCCTCATAGATGGGAACAATAGAGAAAAAAGCAAATTGGAATGGATGGATCCATTCTGAAAAAAAAACAGACATAGCTATCTAAATAATGTGCAATGCTTAGTGTTTCCCACAAAGACCTGTATTCCAACGAATGGAAAAGTATGGGATGAGAATCAAGGAAGAAAAGGGAATAAGCAGGGTAAAGCACTGCATCCCCTCTTGACATCTTCTGTGTTTAGTTAGAGCCCCCAAATTTCCTGTAACGTCAGTAAAGCAATATATATTTTGACTAGCTGTGGGTGTACATCCTCTGAGATAAAAAGGGAATAGGACTGAAATCTCAGAGTCCAGACACTAAATAAGAAATCCTCTTCTCTCTCATATCTGTAGCCAGTGAATTGGAAAAGGCTTGGAGAGCTCTCTCTATGGGGCTTCAGATAATGACTTTGACACTGATAATCTAAAATGTCTAAATTAATTCATTATTTGCCAATGATTTTCTTTATTTTTGTTCTTTATAAATAAGGTCTTACAAGTTATTTTAACATGTTATATAGCAACCAAATTATGTGGAAACACACATATAACTTAAACTTGTGAGTGTGTTTTCAAGTCAAGTGAACTGATTTTATGATTCAGAGTTTGAAGAACACTGACCTCATAATTTTTTTCTTTCCCTTTAAAAGGTGGATACTATTAAATATTGAGTAGGGTGAGAAGAGGGTGGAGTGAGCTAATATTTGTACTGCCCTTAGAACAGTGGCAAGACATGGTAAGTACCAAGAAATGTTAGAAGTACATTATTATTATTATTACCATTGTGGTTATTTTTGTTCTGCCTGAACTCTCTACAACATAACTAGGGAAGTTCCGCCTACCTGCATGCAGAAAGATAATTCTCTATACTTAATTTATAATGATCAATTCAATATGAATATAGGTTTAGGATATTTATTTCAAAACAGCTGTGTTATTTTTACTCAGTCCATTCATTCTCTCTCCCCTGGCTTTCTACATGAAAGATCAGAAGCACATTGTGAAAGTTGTCAGCCTGACGACCTAAGCTGGGACTGTGAAATGTAGGTAGGTATTTCAAACAGGAACGAAATCTTGAGCCTTACTGCACCATTTGCTCTTAGTTTTAAAACCGTCTGCATAATAATGTGCACATATGAAAATACTAAGATACACATGCATGTCATCTTACCTACTGATAAATACATAACGGAAAAAGAGACAGAATCATTTGCTCTTTTGGGTAAGAGGAATAATGTTGGAACAATCCTATTTCCTGGGGATGGATGCTGTGATAAATGATTCTCAGTAATGTGCTGAATCATCAGGATCTACTGGCCATTTATCATCTTGAATGCTTGCAGGCAAATGGGATTATTATTACAATAAACTGCAAGTACCTAGAGTTTGTCCTCTATGTGTGTAGTTCTTAACTTCTGTCCTACTTGAGAAATGTAAAGTTTAAACTCAAATCATAAAGTTGGGGGAATTTTCTTTTGAAATAACTCACTGAATCTAATTATTTGTTAAGGAGAAAAATGAATCTGGAAGATGAATTATTTGATATTCTGGAAGTACTAAGTGCAGAAACCTAGGCTGAGAGTGTATGCGAGCAGAACCTCTGAGTATGTGAAGCAGGGAGGAGCAGTGGGGGGAAAACAAGAGGTAATATCCTACCCCAAGTGAGGACTGAGATGCGACATTGCCTTCTTTGTTACTGGCTCCAATTCCCAGCTCACCAGTTCCTGCCACCCAAACTCTCCGGTTTAGACTTGAGACTTCTTGCTTTCTAGATACAAACCTGGCAAGGGGATGGGTAGATGGATGGGGTGATGATTTAAGATGGGTGTCCTTTTATAGGATTTTGGTTCTATTGAATTACACTGTCTAGAAACCCAAATTATCACGTGGGTTTGGCACTCCCAGATCAGACCTCAGCAACGTGGGACACAGTAGAGTGTTTCTAATTATCTGTCCATATGGAAGTGGATGCTAGCTGGCTCAGGTCCTGGTTGTAAAGGTATGTGCCAGTCAGGAGGAAACAGAGAAAGTAGGGCTCGCTCCAAAGACCTGAGTCAATCTAGATGCTTTTTTCTCTCTACATTTCTGACTGTCTCTGACAAATAAATCATCCCTTGCTTGGGAGGGATTCCAGCCTGGATCTGAGTTCTCATGAGAAACTGAGGAGGATTATGGTTTGAATATTTGAGTCTTCTCCAAATTCTTATGTTGAAGCATTAATCCCCTATGTGGTGGTATTTAGAAGAGAGTTTGGGGAAAGTAATTAGGTTAGCTAAGGAAGTGAGGGTGGGGCCCTCACTATAGGATTTGTGCCCTGAGAAGAAAAGGTATAGAGACCTTGCCCTCCTTCTAACTCTACCATGTCTGTGAGTACATGGTGAGGAGATGACTGCTTGAAAGCCAGGGAAAGAATCCTCAGTAGGAACCTAATTGGCTAGCTCCTTGATCTTGGACGTCCCAGGCTCCAGATCTGTGAACAATAAAGGTTTGAGGTTTAAGCCACCCAAGCAGTGGTATTTCTTTTCTTTTTTTTGTGTAGTACTGGGGTTTGAACTCAGGGCCTCACACTTGCTTGGCTTTGCTAGGCAGACACTCCATCACTTGAGCCACCTTCACCAGCCCAGTGGTATTTCTGTTGTAGCAGCCTGAACTGATGAGGAATTCAGACAGACCCCTTAGCTTCTCCTCTGGGCTTCCATCTTCCATAAACTTTTGTACCGGTGGTAAGTACTTTCAGCCAGCATGTGGGCAGGACATCTTCCCTGTGTCCATCATCTTTTCCTTGATGCACCCTATTTTGCTACACCAATGTCACACATTAACAAACAGCAAAGCATTTGAGCCCTAACCTACTTTGATTCCTGTGCCTCCCGTATGGCAAGCCATTGCACTCTGTGAGGATTCATCTTTTTTCTAACACATAAAGTATCCCTTTTCATGCTGTATCAGTCATCTTTCCATTACTATAATGAAATATCTGACACAGACTACTTATGAAGTAAAAAAGGGGTTGATTTAAGCTCACAGTTACAGAGGTTCAAGTCCAAGATTGGGAGGCTCCATGGGTTTGGTCCTTTAGTGAGGGCAGTACATCATATTGTGTTAGAGCAAGCACCTCACATGTCAAGCCAGGAAAAAGAAGGAAGAGGAGAAGTCAGGAGAAGAATAAGAAGAGAAGGAGGAGAAGGAGAAGAAGGAGGAGGAGGAGAAAGAGGAGGAGGAGAAGGAGAAGGAGGAGAAGGAGGAGGAGGAGGAGGAGGAGGAGGAGGAGGAGGAGGAGGAGGAGAAGAAGAAGAAGAAGAAGAAGAAGAAGAAGAAGAAGAAGAAGAAGAAGAAGAAGAAGAAGAAGAAGAAGAAGAAGAAGAAGAAGAAGAAGATTATTCAAGGTCTCCAGGGACCTAAGAACCTTTAAAGGTGTATAGCATTACTCTATACTACCACCCTGGGCTGGGAACCAAGCCTTTATATAGGGACATTTGGGGCTTACTTATGCAAACTATGGCAGATGTGTTGGCCTTGATCAAGGTGGAATTCTGAGGCCAGTCGTGTAAAGGTTGCAGGAGGCTTTGGTACGCTCAGATGAAGCTTGTGGGGCTACTGTATGAGAAGGAAAAATTGGATACAGCAGGGGGCTGTTTGGGAAAGGAAACGTGTTTCACTTTGCCTGAGTGATTCTTGCATCTGATTTGAGTGGGAAGGTGTGAGAATGGGTGAGTGAGACTGTCGTTTCTGACGAAAGCAGGGCTATTGCTGCTGACCTCTCCCTCTAGCAGGGGTTGATTCCTAATTTAATTATTTTTTTCCTGGAACTTTCTTATTAGCACAGGGAGGTTGTGATGTCTTGTGTTTGCATTTAAAAATACACTAAAATTATTTTTTCTGTTGTGTATTACATCTGTAATAAGGCATCTCTTAAATGATGGGACATAGTTGTAAGCCTTGTAGGTAGAAAGAAACACAGAAGGCCCTTTTTGAGCAATAAAACTGTCCCAGAAAGGGTGAGTGAAGCCTGGCACTTGTCCTACAGCTTACAGCATGAGGCGACTTCCATAAAGGGCATTGGGAAAATTCCTGATATAGTGGGTCATAGGCAGTTTCGGAAGACCTCCAGTTCCTTTTCTATGCCTTAGAAGGTCACCCTAAAGAAATGTGCTAGATTGATTGATGCTGACAGGGACTTATTTGTGGTAGAAATGAAAGTAATAAACCTCAAAGATTGGACTCCATTCTTAGTGTCACACTTTAAGAGGAGCACTGACAAATTGGAGTGTCGGGGGTGGGGGGGAGGGAGGGAGCTGAAACCATATTACAAGTGAGAAAGATGAAGTCGGGACAGGCATTTGGTCCCAAGTAGAGAAGACTCAAGGAAGATGAGACAGCTGTTTGCAAACCTTTTAAGCCATCAGATGGAAGAGAGATGAGCCATATTTTATATCAGTCCAGATAAGACATTAAGTTCACAGGTAGGATGGAAAGGTAGAAAAGTCATATTTTCCTACAGTTAGAGCCACCTGACCCGCTGTCTTGGCGGGTGACATTCTTGTCAATAGAAGCCATAGAAACAGACCTGTAGAATGCGATCTGATGGCTTTGGATGGGGAAGAGGCTAAGTTCCATTCTTAATATTACAGAGCCTGGATGGTCTTTGGATCCCAGGATGGAACCAATTCTTTCTATAGGACCAACTAAAAGAACAGCAACTGAGAAACAACAGTTCTATGCAGTGATTGGGTTGTAAATCTGAGAGGTGGAGTTCAAAAGAAGGATCCTGTAATAAAAAAAAGGGGGGCATCTTTCAGCATCAGATCTGACACACTGCAGGTACTCAATGAATATTAGCAGATTGGCTTAGGAGGAGATAGCATGGCACAATGACCCAAACTTGACTTCTGAAATTAGCCACCTTGAATCTGAATTTTGATTCTACTCTCATAAACCACATAATATGGGAATAAACCAACCAAACCTGAAGGTTCAAATTTCTCAGCTACAGAAAAGAGATGATAATTGTATCTACCTCATGGGGGTGATGTTAAGGATTCAATGATGGACGTGTTGGTCAATCCAACCCTATTTTTACCCCATACCTTACAGAAGTTGTCCAGAAGGAAGTATCAGATTCTCAAACATTTTAAATGAAGATTAGATGTATGAATGGAAAAGATAAAGAGAGGGAAGCTTCCCAAAGCCCACACTGCCATCCCACTCCTTTCTAACACTTACGGGAACATCTTCCTCTTGGGTCTCATCATCCCAGGACCATCCAAGTATATCCAGACATTTTTCAGAGTTTCTTTTAAAGGATTGGTGAACTCAACAGTCACAATCATGTCAGAACCAACTATAGCAGCACCTTGGACCTACAAAACAAGTCAATGGAGAACACAGCCCATCAGCCACAATGAAAACCATTCTGCTTTCCTGTCTCCTTAGCATTTTCACATTAGCTAAAGTTTTACCACATGGTTATTTATTTGTTTTGGCAATGCAACCAGAGTGAGCATATTGCTTTAACTGGGGGATACCTATTGAGAAAAAGATGGAAAATGACTAATTAGATTCTTTTCCTCATTATAATAACCACCTTAATTAGAGCTCAGGTTAATGGCCATGGCCATGGGCTGCTCTCTATCAGCGGGAGCAAGAGTGCATTCTGTGTAGTCATAGATTTCTTTGGTGAGGGTGGCCAGGTGAACTCTGCTTGTTGGAAGGATTCAAATTTCCTGCCAGGATGTGAGGGAATTTCCTAAGTTCAAGAGGTAGGAAATGCCACAGGGGGCTTGTGCCTTCTTACTTTCAGACACATTACAAAGAAAGATTTCCTAGAAGAGAGTCCTTATTTGAACTTGAAGAATAGGAATCTAAATACTAAAATAGGGACAAGAGACTTCATCTGCAGATACCACATGAGTACTGGAGGGTAGAAGCCCAGGGGCACATGGGCTTTTCATGGGTGAATTTATCCATAACAACTCTCAGAAGTACCAGGTATTTGGCAAAACATCACATGAGGTGACCAGAGTTCAATGCCAGCTCTGACACTCCGGCAGCAGTGCTTTGGGTGACTCAAACTTTCAGAGAATTCAGCTTTCTTGTCTCTAAACCAGGACTGACATTTGTATAGGATAACATATATAGAATGCTATTGTTATTACTGTTATTGTTCTTTATGCTGTGTTTACTATGTGCCTCACACTTGGAAGATTCTGCTTTCCCCGTACAAACTCAGTGTGCTGGAAAATAGCCATGTGGTGATGGGATTTGTTTGTCTGTTTATGGGTTTATGGGTGAATACTGAATGGGTGGATCTATATAAGACCCAAGTCACTTGACAAGATAATCATAATGACAATAACAACAGTTCTTTTTTTGTAAGAAAGGGTAGGATGAGATAGTGCACATAGAGCATATGCAAGGTGCACTGAAAAGCATGAACACACTACAGCTCAGGCTTCTTAGAGTAGCAATGCTCTGGGTAGTTTACTTACCATAGGTTTTCATTCACTTTGAACTCCAATACCTACCCAGTACCCAATAAATACTTAATAAGTTAGGCGAATTGTTTCAAAGTAGAATTTACTGGTTGCTTCATTTTCCTATGTAATGACCAGATATCATCACATCGTTTCTTTTGCCAGTTTGGAATACAGGAGAAAACACATAGAAACAAGCCTTTCTTATGAATGGAGGCACACAAGGAGGACACCACCCACAGAAGAGGCTCCTTGCCCACTGACTCCACAGTTAAGAATAAAATGGTTTTCTGACTAAATTTATGTCCATGGGAATCTCCAAAAAAATGAAACTTTTAGCCAACTTTCCATGTTTATTATATTCCTGTCAACGTTTCCTGGGGGGCAGTGGGTAGAAAGATGGGTTTGGGGGTGTCTAGAGGTGGGCAAATAGAGTTGATGACAACAGAAGGCACACCTAAAAAGCATGGGTTGTGTGCGATTTCAGGAGTTTTTTGGATTTTAGGATATTTACATAGACTTTACCAGTTAAACATTGCTAATCCGAAAATCCAAAATCTGAAATACTCCAAAATCTGAAACTTTTTGAGGGTATGTTGAAGTTTGCTTTTTTGGATTAAGGATGTTCAATTTGTATTTGAAAGGCTACCCCATGTGCTTGGGGTTTCATGGATAAGGCTTCAGATGTGGATATGATCATAAGACTAAGCCTTCTTGGATAATTCCAGGTGTCATGCCCAATCAGTTTACTTCCAGATTATCACTGTAATTAGCTGGTGGCATGGGTATATCAACACCGCCTAGACTTCTCTAACACTGGAACCACGAGAAAGCTGGGGAGAGGTCTGGTGGAATGACTCAAGTGGTAAGAGCTCCTGCCTAGCAAGCATGAGGTCCAGTGTCACAAAAACCCCAGTTCAAACCCCACTACCAAAAAAGAAAAGAAAAAAAAGAGCTGGAGAGAGATGGGGAGATGAAAGAAGAACTCCTTTCAGGTGTACTGTGTTTCTCTTGCAATTAGCAAGGCTCACTGATCCTTTTCTGGCATTAATCTCCAGCATCCAGAATTTAACCTTCCTGACCACTGACTGAAATGACATTGAATCTTAAAAACTCAAACCAACTGAAGGATGAAAGTCTGCCCAATGTTCAGCATTCCTGCTTGGGAAACTTAAGTGGAGGTATTTCCTCCCACTTCCTGTGAGGAAAAAGAGGCCCCCACACAGCGTTCCCATGCTATGTGTTGACTTAGGTGATTGCAATGTGCTATTATGTCTGGGAAAGCGGGTAGCAATGACTATTTTGGAGGAAAGGATTTGTTTGCATTGAATTCTTCCAGAATTCTGTACTATTCCTTTCTCTTTAATGTTGTAAGAACAATTCTATGTCAGTATAGTTGTATTTCTGATTTTCTTGTTCTCCAAAAGCCTTGAATAAAGGGAGAGTTTAGACAATCCAGAGAGGACAGATCAAGAAGAAACTCATGTATGACTTTAGGGAAGTATTCTATTATGTGGACCAGAGAAAAGAACAAAGCACATGTGACTTTACATGCTTTTCTATACATTTGATTGCCCTGATTTTTTTCCAGTATTTGATTTTGAATATCTCTGTTTTAAAAAATCAGTCTGTCATATATCTTCCCAAGTTAAAATTCACTCACCAATATTTACACACTGATTTCTTGTCTTTTATACTATTTCATGGTAATGAGCAGTTATTCTGATTCTATGGTAAGCAGAAAAGTTGCTAACACACACAGAGAGAGAGACATTTATATAAACTTTTTGGAAGGAATTACTCTTTAGGAATCACAAGTTATCTTCCGCCGAATATATGCTTCACAAAATGCATAATTGTATTCAAAACCAAAACTGAAATGAAGGGAAAAGTTTGAGAGAGTGAAAATGAATTAAGTTGGAAATTTGATTCACACAATTTATTGGATTCACCTAAAAGCCCTTATTTCAAGTGCTTTCAATCATGTCTTCCAGTAGTACTGGAAATTGGATTTCCTCCCTCCTCCTCATTCCATGGTCACTGCTGGTAAGAAGCAATAGCTTGTTTGTAAACTGTGTTCACCAGCTCCAGCATCCACACTGCCCCTAACACAGGCTGCCATTTGCTAAATAATGCTAATGATTTTACCCACGTCAGGCAGTGTTCTAAGACTGTGCTGGTCAACAGCATAGCCACTAGTGACATGTAGTTATTTAAATTAATCAAAATTAAATGAAATTTAAAAATTCAATTCCTTGATAGGACTAGCCACATTTCAAGAGTGCAAGAGCTTCATGTGGCTGATGGATGTGTACTGGACAGCGAGGGTTTAGGATATTCCATTGTTATGGTTTGGATATGAATATCCCCCAAAAGGCTTATGTGTTGAGGTCTTGGTTCCCAACACAGCAATGTTAGGAGGTGGGGCTTTTGGGAAGTGACTGGATCATCAGGGTTCTGACATTATCACTGAGTTAATCCACTGATGGATTCATGATGTGATGGCATTAATGGGAGGTGGCAGAAAGTAGGTAGAGCCTAGTTGCAGGAAGTAGGTACTGGGGATATGGCTTTGAAGGATATATGTTGCCCCTGGGCTCTTCCTGTCTGTCTTTGCTTTCTGGTCTCCATGAGGTGAGCAGTTTTGCTTTTCTATGAGGCTCTGTTTCATCACAGAGCCAGAAACAATGGAGCCAAGTGACCATGACCTGAAGCCTCTGAAACTGTGAGCCCAAATAAATCTTTCCTCCTTTTGAGGAGGAAAGATTGTTACAGTGATGGAATGATGGAACACTGACTAGCACACCCATCATTACAGAAAGTTCTATCAACTCAATCTTCACAACACTCTTGAGTAAATACTATGAGTCTTCATTTTACAGATGGGGGAACTGAGGCACAGAGCAGTTACATAATCTACTTGAGTTCCCACAATAAAGTGGAGTGGATGAGTTGTGAATGCAATAGTGTAGTACTAGATCATTGCTTTGTCAACCCCTATACTGATTCTGTTTAATAATACTCATTAATAACAAAACCAACTTATATTTTCTGAGTGCTTACTTAGTGATGCAGGTGCTCTGATTGTCATTTTGTTTACATTGTCTTACTGAATTCCTATGACCTTTTGGGCTTAGAGGCAGACATTATTATCCTGGCTTTACTGGCATGAAAGTGAAACTTAGACGACAAATAAAATACTGATAGAGATAGTAAGCTGGCAAAACCAACCGGATATAAATCTAGGTCTTTCTAACTCTAAAACATTCATCTTTAAACACTACTTACACTGTGATCTTTGACAAGTGAGAGATATAGATAGTAACATTTTTTTTTTTTTGGCAGGAATAGTTTCTTTATTTTCTGAAATCCACAGTAGAATCATTTGCAGTGTTCACTTTTTATGTTATCACTAAACCATGCATTGAGGACAATGATTATAAGTTGACCCTGAGCTAAATTTGAAAACACATCTACCACCCACTTCTTTCTTTTTGACTTTCTGGGGAAAGAATTAGATTCCTATGCCAGAGTGAAATGTGACAAGGTGGCCTTGGGGCCTTGGTGTACATTACTAGATGATAATAGGATTTTCTATTTAGGGTTCAGCTAGAGATACCATGTTTTGAAATATCTCTAGTTGCCCCAAATGTAGTGGAATTACAAGTGGGTAGATGGAATTGGTTCTCCTAGGTGTTTTCTTTGTCTGTGTTTTTTTTTAAGATTAAAAAAATAGCAAACAGGAAATGCATAGAGCAAATTATGTTTTAGGTATCCCACTTACCAGTGATGTATCATTTTCCTTCTCTAAGGCACACTGATGCATAGCTGTGCTTGCAGGAGAGGTGGAAATAGTGAACACGCAGAGTGGCAGGGCTCCCTCACAG